AAGAGGCAGAAAAAGGCATGGGAAGGGGAACATGTCTGATAGGAGAGATGCCCTCAGGCTCCACCCCTGAGAGGGCTCTCAACGCCGGGATGAGGGAGAAGGGGCAGGGGCACCTTAGCAAAGCAGGCTGTGCCTCAGGCCGGGGATTCTGCATAAATGGGCAATATCACAGGAGGGGCATGTTTGGCAATCTTTGCAAGTCTTGAATGCCACGCTGAGACAAGGGAACTTTATCTTGGAGCGCTGGGGAGCTATGCATGGTTGGAGGGCAGGGGAGTTCCATGCTGAGAGTTGGACAGTGACCAGTCTAGAGCTATGTTTTCCAAGGCGTCCCGGTGCTTGGTGGGACTGGGGAGAGAACTGGGGCATGAGATATCTGGGGAGAGGTATGGGGTGGCAGAGGGGGCCCCCACTGTGCCCTTCCAGGGCTGGCCTGGACCCAGAAAACAGCCAGACACATGACTGGAAGCCAGGCTCTGTAGTAGCTGGGCTGGGCATGCTGGGAGGAACATCAGGGCCGGAGAACTCTGAGGATGCACTGCTTAGGGCCAGGTGATACCCAGAAGAGCTTCCCAGGAAGCAGCCTCTGACAGGGCTTGGCGGACATCTGGGGTCCGACAAAGAGCAGACATGACGGGGTCCAGGTAGAGAAAAGAGACCCTGAGGCCCCCTTCTAGGCCCTCGGCCAGAGCTCTGTTTCCATCTGCCTCTTCTGCACTCATAAGCTTGTGCAAAATCGGATGAATGAATCCTCAGCAGGGAGGTGAAGACTGCCACAGACTTAATAATAATCCCCAACGCAGGAGAGCAATGGCTCTCCCAATCCATCGCTCCCTACTGCCGCAAGGTCCTGTGAGGCCCGGGAGGAGACAGGTGAGCCTGAGGTCTTGGTGCAGAGGCAGGACTCAAACCCAGGGACACTACAGCCAGGGCAGTGCCTTCACCCACAGACGCAAGGACTCTCCACCCCCAAATCCATCCACGTGACAAGCGTCTGGCCATGGCAGGCAGCAGGACCGGATGGGGCTCAAAACCGTTGGCTGGCTCCCCCGGGCCAGTTCCCAGTCTGATGACTCAAACGCTACTCTGGACTGGGATGGGGAGGTCGCCACATAACCTCTGACCCCTCTATGACCCACACTGCCAGGCCCCCACATAGCCCCACATAGAGCAGCCTCCCTCAACCCCTCATCCCCAGTCTTAGGAGCTCAGTGATTAACAGCTTAAGAGCTAGGTTCTGGGGCTCAAAGCCTGGGTTTGAATCCCGGCTCTGCCATCATCTGGCTGTGTGACCTCAGGCAAGTCACTTAACCTCTCTAGTCCTCAAGGCTGTCATCTTCATCATATGTCTATCCACTTGGGGTTGTTGGGGGATTAAGTGAGATCATCAGCAGTGTCTGGAGCACAGTAAGGACTCAGTGTTTTCCGTTCACATTACGATCCTCCACCCGGGCAGCTGGAGGGAGCTGAAGCACAGCGCACCCCTGCTCCGACTGCTGACCCCCACATCTAGCCCAGCTCTGTACTCTGGCACTCAAGGCTGGCCTGGCCCCCTCTTATCCCTCATGTCTCTCAAGAGACCTGGCATTTCCACCCCCAAATCACCTCTCTTCAGACCTTATCAAACCTGCTCAGCTCTATGCCTGGTAGAAGAAGCTTCGAAAAGCAGGCTCGATCTCTGTCCAGCAATTCCCCTCCCAGAACCTCATCTTAGGAACACAATGAGGACCGGGCAAAGACTGGCCTCGGTGTCCACTATAGCATAGTTTATAAAGATAAAACAACCCAGGTGTCCATCGGCAGGGGATCAGGTGGGGAAATGAGGGAGCCTGATTGTCATCTGGCTGTTGACACGGAACCAAGCAGGTTCCAATCTGCTGTAAACCAATGGACCCTATTTTAATTTTAAAAAGTACAGATCCATAGCTGCCTGGGCCAGGAGCAGCAACAGGAAGTGACTGAAGGAGCAGGAGGGATCTTACTGGGCGATAAAAATGTTCTACAGCTAGTAATGGTCACACAACTCAGAAAATTACAAATCGTTGAATGATATACTTAATATGGAGAAATACTGTGGTATATAAAGTAGACCTCAATAAAGTTGTCAAGAGATCGAGATCATCCTGGTCAACACGGTGAAACCCCGTCTCTACTAAAAATACAAAACATTAGCTGGGCATGGTGGCGCGTGCCTGTAGTCCCGGCTATTCAGGAGGCTGAGGCAGAGGAATTGCCTGACCCCAGGAGGCGGAGGTTGCGGTGAGCCGAGATCGCGCCATTGCACTCCAGCCTGGGTAACAAGAGCGAAACTCCGTCCCAAAGAAAAGAAAAAAAAAAGTTGATGAAGGCCGGTGTGGTGACTCACGCCTGTAATCCCAGCACCTTGGGAGGCTGAGGTGGGCAGATCACATGAGCTCAGGAGTTTGAGACCAGCCTGGCCAACACAGTGAAACCCCGTCTCTACTAAAAATACAAAAATTAACCAGGCATGGTGGTGCACAACCGTAATCCCAGTTACCTGGCAGCTGGAGAATCTCTTGAACCTGGGTGGCGGAGGCTGCAGTGAGCTGAGATCATGCCACTGCACTCTAGCCTGGGCAAAAGAGCAAGACCCTGTCTCAAAAAAAAAAAAAAAAAAGTTTATGAAGAGTGTGCAGCCATCCCACACCAAAGAGAGAGAGAGAGAGAGAGAGAGGAAAAGCTCTTTCACATAATTAGCAGGGCTTATCTCTGGGTAGTAGGTTTAAAGCTTTATTTGAGACAGAATCTCACTCTGTCACCCAAGCTTATAGCTCACTGCAGCCTCTTGCTCCGGCCCCAAGCAGGGCTGAGACTACAAGCATGTGTTACCCACACCCAGCTAATTTTTTTTATTTTTGTAGAGACAGGATTTTGTCATGTGGCCGAGGCTGGTCTCAAACTTCTGGACACAAGTAGTCCTCCTGCTTCGACCTCCTAAAGTACTGGGATTATAGGCGTGAGCCACCACACCTGATCTAAAGATTTTATTTTCTTCTTTTTGCTCACTTCCACTTGCTAATTGTTCTACAATGAAAAAAGATGTGTAATTGGAAAGAAGAACAGGAAGTCTGAATACAAACTGAAAAATCCTCTGCTGAAGTGGGTAAAGCTCAGCCTGCCTGGTGAGAAGCGGCTGCCCAGTCTTCAAGGCGCTGGGGCTCTCTCACAGACTACAGCTTGGGCCACACGGCTGCCCATGCCTGGCCTTTGGGTCTGGAGAGACAATGTTTTTATAAATGAGTCAGTAAGAAAGATCTGTATCAGACCTGTGGCCCAGACCGGATTCTGCTGTCCAGATGCCCACGAAGGGAGGGTTTGTCTACTCATTCTTCTGGAGGTGGAAACTAAGGTTCAGAGGGTGAGAGAGCTTGAGCCGGATGGCAGAGGAAGTGAGGAGCATCCAGGTTCAAGTTCTGACCCCAAAGCCCATGTCCGGCTGGCTTGGTCCCGCTGCCTCTTGGACCCTCAGTGGACCCTGTGCTATGGAACTAGTTGAGTCAGGCCTCAATCTCCCTAGGGCTTGGGATTTCAGGGTCCATCTCTCCAGGGTGCAGTGAAGGACAACCCCCTCCTGCCAGGGGTAGGGGAGGCTGTTTTGGAAAAGCCTCACAATCAGGGCCTCTCCTCTTGGGTCCTCCCCTAGCCCAGCCCCAGAGGGAAGGAGGAAGGGCTGTGAAGCTCCGGGGGCTGGCAGCCAGCTGAGCTCATCTGCAAGGCTGCAGTAGGGCAGGAGTGGGGGTGGCACAGATGCATCTGTTTGCCAGCCCCAGGGTGGCCACAGGTTCCACGGACATGTCCATTCAGGTTGTGAGTCTAGGCATCTTCCTCCTGCAGACTCGGCCTCAGTTTCCTCATCAACCAAGTGCAACTCAGCCAGTGTTGCTAAAACTCCTGCACAGAAACCATGGAGGCAATTTGCTGGGGGCTTCCCTTTGCTGTCTACAAAATGGAAGCAACGGGCCTCCTAACTGCCACTTGGTGCCACCGTTGGCCCCAAACCCCGTCTCCTGACAGCCTGAGTGGTGCTCCAAAGACGGAAGCCGGCGCCGCGGTCCTGCTCCGCCCTTTCCCTGGCCGAGGAGGGCGGCTGGCGTCCTCTCCCTCCGCAACCTTTGCGAGCCTTTCACTCCTCACACTTAGGCCCTGCCTCGGGGCCGTCGCCCTTCCCTCGCCCTGGCCTGGAAAACATCTTTCCCTGCTGGTCCTGGGGGTGACCCTCAGGTCTCAGCGCAGAAGTCCCTGACGCTCGACCCCAAGTAGCCACATCCCTGCCCTCCCCTCGCCCCGCTCCACCCAAGGTGCAACTAAGTATCTATTTGCTGGTTTCCGGGGAGATGGTGTTCCCGAAAAGAGCGGGTGCCCAGGGCTGTCTGGGAACCCTCGGTGCTTAAGACGGAGCCTGGCATTCGGTGAGTGAATGAGTGCGGAGCCGACGCCGGCTGCAGACCCGGGGAACCGGACCCGAGGCCCGGCCAGGGCGCGAGCAGCGCCCGTGCGCATGCGCACGAGCTCCGACGCCCAGCTGAACTCTCGGGCCTGAGGGAATGACCGTGAGTAACCCCGCACTGACGTCACGGCTGGGGCCGGGGCGGGGCTTCGGCGACGCCCAGGTCCCCAGCTCCAGCCGCGGCCGCCACAGGGCTGGAGACTCACCCACCGGTCGGGCGGTACCTGGCCTGTGACGCGTAGAGGCGCACGTGTCCCGGCCCGGAGCCGCCAAGGGACACGGCCCGGCCCTGGAGTCCTCGCCCAGCGCTCGGCTCGAGACGCCAGGGCGGGAGCCAGGGAAAGTGCCAGGAAGGCTCGGCGAGGCCCGGGACACCGAGGTCCACGGCGCGTAGCTCAGAGACGCCGGGAAGCCCCGCGCGAGCACAGCACGAAGCTGGCGCCCGGGGGGGAGACAAAGGCCGGGGAGCCACCTGCGCGCCCCCCACTCGCGCCACCCGGCGCGGCTTCAAGCCCTGCCCACCCTAACGCACCTTCGATGTCGCTCAGCAGCGCCGCGTCCAGATCGCACGGCTCGCTCAGCGCCTGCTCCAAAACCGCCTCGCTGAAGGGCAGCTCGTCCATGGCGCAGCCGCCTCCTCCGGGGGGCCCGCCGGGCCCGCCGCCGCGCACGGCCCTTCCGAAGGACTGCCGCCGGCCCCGGCTCGCAGCTTCCGCCGCCGCTCCACGCGTTCGTGTCCTGCCCTGGCCTCGGAGGCGGCCCGGCGCCCGCGAAAAGTTCGTCGGAAACTGGGTTCCCGCGGCAGCGGCTCCGCTGGGCGGTGGAGGCGGAGGCGGGGCCTTTCGGGAGAGGCCCCGCCCTCCCAGATAGACGGCCCCGCCCCACCTTGAGAGAGCGGGGACCCCTGATCCCCGGTCTGCGCCACAAATCTGCCCTCAGCGGGCCCCTCCTCCAGAGCGCCCTCCAGTCTTTCATTTTATCCAGCCTCGCGCACCATGGCAGAGCGGCCTCTGGCCGGCTGCTGCGGGAACGCGGGTAAACCAAGTCCTCTCTCTGGGCCTCTGTTTCTCCAGCACCAAGCAAGGAGCTGAGTGGAAGCCCCAGGCCTGGGCCCATCACAAACCAAAGCTTCCTCACTTCCTAGATTTCACTCTTGAGAACAAGACAGACCAGGATCCAAGTTACAGGGGTCCCAGGCCTGCTGTGTTGTGAGCAGACCTGATGTAACTGCTGGGCCAGTTACATCACTCTGCTTCGGTTTCCCTCATCTGTAACGTGGGCCTAATGATGCTTCCTCACGGGCGGGCTGGGAGGCAAGTGACAATGTGGAGATCAGCCTGCCCTCTCTCCAAAGAAACCAGGAGATTGGCCTTCTGAAGACAGGAGTGACCGAAGAAAGAGGCTGGAATTTCCTGTCGTCTTCATCTGGTTTCCTCCCAGATCCAGCCGTAGGGATAGGACCCCAGTAGGCCCAGTGCAGCTCCTGACAGAGGAAGCGGGTACCCAAGGACTACTGGCACCAGGGCTGTCTGACCCCAAATTTGGTGCTTGTTCCTGGGAGTGGCCAAGACAGGGTCCACAAGGAAGAGTTGGCTGAGCTTTAGATCAGAGCCAGGCTGCCGTGGACCGTGACAGCTGGGACTAGGTCAGAGCAGGCAGCCCTGCTGAGAAGAGGGCCGGAAACCATACCCAGTTCTGTGGCCTAGGGACAGAGCCAGGTGGAGCGGGAAGGAGGGAAGGGGTCCCAATGAGGTGAGTTGAAATAAACCAGAATTAACTTTCAGTTATCTGAATGTGATAAGACAGTGAGCTCCCTGTCCCTAGAAGTATGCAAGCAGACAGAAGCACCCTTGGTGGAGGGCAGCCAAGGAAACTCATCAGGGCCTGGGCCTCAGGCCCACTGGACCCTGGGCCTTAATGAGTCAAGCCATCCTGCAGACTGCCTTGCTCAGACTCCAGATATGGTCTGACCACACTCTAAGCAGGAGTAAAATTCCTGGTGCACGTTAGAAGGGGTGTGTGGGGGAGCCAAGTCCCTGGGCTTGGACATGCAGCTCTCTTTGTTCCTCTCCCAGAAGTGGCTGCGATGGAAAATTACCCAGAACAGGAACGCCAGAGTCATGGGGGTCGCCAAACCACATCTCCTCAGGCAGCCCCACTCAAGGGTCCACACAGGACCCACTCCCTCCAGATGAACCACTGCTGGAGAACGCTGGGAATGAAGCTGGCTTCTCAGTGCCCCACCCCCACCAATACTCGGGAGGATGCAGGAAGCTGGTGACTTCCCTGAAAATTTAAACAGCCCTTCCCAGGGAGAGGGGTGGGGTAGGAAGTGCTCAGCAAAGCCTCAACACCACTTTCTTCAGAGCTAGGCAGGTGACCTGGGTTTTCACCTACTTGCTGCGTGACCTGGAACCACTTACCTCTCATTCTGAGCCTCAGCTACTGGATCTGTAAAATGGGACTAACCCTTCCTTCAGTCACTCTACAGAGGCAGGGAGGGTGTTTCAGAGTCATCATCGCAACAGATCTGCCTCACTGTTTTTTGTTTGGTTTGGTTTCTTGTTTTGAGAGTCTCGCTCTATAGCCCAGGCTGGAGTGCAGCAGCAGGATCTTGGCTGACTGTAACCTTCGCCTCCCAGGTTCAAGCGATTCTCCTGTCTCAGCCTCCTGAGTAGCTGAGATGACAGGCTCATGCCACCACACCTGGCTAATTTTTGTATTTTTCGTAGAGATGGGGTTTCACCATATTGGTCAGGCTGGTCTTGAACTCCTGACCTCAGGTGATCCACCCACCTCAGCCTCCCAAAGTGCTGGGATTACAGGCCTGAGCCACCACAACCGACTATCCCTTTTTTGTGTGTCGTTGCTGATTTTGAGACAGAGTCTCCTGTTGTCCAGGCTGGAGTGCAGTGGCGCAATCTCAGCTCACTGCAACCTCCACCTCCCGGGTTCAAGCGATTCTCTTGCCTCAGCCTCCAGAGTATATGGGATTACAGACATACACCACCACACCAGCTAATTTTTGTATTTTTCGTAGAGATGGGGTTTCATCATGTTGGCCAGGCTGCTTTCAAACTCCTGACCTCGAGTAATCCGCCCACCACGGCTTCCCAAAGTGCTGGGATTACAGCACTGCCCCCGGACCGCCTCACCATTTTTTAAATGGGTTACCACATATGTAAATAGTATAGCTCAATAAATATGCACTCCATAACTGGAGGAGTTAGGGGAGAGGGAAAGAAGATAAGCCAAAATCAACAGGAGACCCGCAGCCCAGAAAATCAAACTGAAACCCCCATGGGGAACAGTCCGACGTGGGGGTGGGAGGAATTTACATCTTTGCCACTAAAGAAACAAATCTTTGCCTCACAGCCTGGGATTACCAGAGCAACCCTCAAGGTGAGGGTAGGGGAAGCCAGGAGAGGGGATCCATTTTTCAGGGGGAACATGCTTGTCTTGGCGGCTCCTCCCTTCAAAGATCCTGAGACCTCGAAACGGGACCCGCTTGGCTGGGGAACGTTGAGCACACCCAAGGAACGTGGACACAAGCCCTCTTCGGGTGTGCCTATCAGGGGTCAGGGATCCACCCTGGTCCACGGTGACCCCAGCCCGGCGGGTTCTGCACCGTCTACAATCGCTGAGCGCTTACAGCGTGCCCAGTGCTCTTTAAACCCACTCCCTCCTCCCCACAGCCTCGGGCGGTTGAGGCTGTTACCATCCCATTTTACAGGTGAGCCAATTGAGGCACGTGGAGCGGGGCGGTGAAGCGACTTGCCCAGGATCTCCCCAGCACTGCTGCCCCTGATTTTGTCGGGGCTGGAAGCAGCGGGAGAGTCGGGCCAGCTCCGGTTGGCGCGCGGGCCAGGGCAGCGGCTGGAGACCCAGGGGAGCCGGGGCGCCGAGCCAGACCAGCCCAACCCCCCGGGCACGGCGCAGCCAATGGGCGCCCGGCCCGGAGTGGGGTGACGCGGCGTCAGCGCGTAACTCCCGGGAGCCCGGCCCAGGGTCACATGCGCTGCGCCCGCTCGACCCGGGGAGGCGGAGGGGTGCGCGGCGGGGACCGGCTGGGCTCAGCCCCCAGGCCAGCCACCTGGCCGGGACTGCCGCCAGGTGCGCGTCCTGGGCACCGGGCGGACTAACCTAGGACTGCCCCACCCGGGACTGCGTGGCGCCCCCAGAGCGGAGGATTCCGCCCAAGTCGCTCAGCCCGGCCCCCGCCCGACCTCGGCTTTGCCAACTGGGAGATAGGGGTTCGCGTCTCCCCCGCTTCCTCTCCAAGCCTCTTGGAGACTGGGAGGCAGCTTCTGTGGGTTCCGAGCCTTTTCAGGCAGGCGTCCAGCGCAGGCAGGGCCTCTTCCCAGGCCGCTGGTCCTGTCCAGCCATGCCCTTGGTGCCCGGAGCTCAGCGGTGGGTGGTAGGGCAGGCACTGGGCAGGAAGACTGGGTTGGCCACTCTCGCCATTGCCTAGGCTACTGAAACCCCTCCCCACTCCCAGAGCCTCCTGCCGCCCTGGCTGGCCCTGCATAGCCTTCACTGCTGTAGGAGCCAAGCTGGGTTACGTCTCTGCCCCGAAGGAAACAAATCTTTGCCCCACAGGCTGGGCCCTGCCCAGATTATGGCCGAGGCACCAGGAGGAGGGAAGAGACTGCTCAGAGCCTGAGTCCCCCCTTCCCCTTCTCCATCTGTACATAATGGGGTGAGATGACTGTGGACGTGGAAGATTCTGGTCCTAGGTGACCCTCGTGCTCTCTTTCCCGCTTGAGGTCTGCAGTGAGCTGGGCAAGTTCTTTCCAGCCCTCTCTGAGCCTCCATGGCCAGCTTTGCCCTGGAGGTTCACACTCATGTGGGCACCATGAGTCACTGAACATGCCCTCCACAAAAGAGCTACTTGAACCCCAAAGATTGCTGCACAATGAGAGGTGTAGCTCACAAAGACTGAGGAAGACTGATACCTGTTCCCTGGGGGGTAACTGGCTCTTTGGGGAGAGGCCAAGTGCATATTGAACGGGGTGAGTTCTGCTGGCAGAAGAGAGAGTGAGGAAATCAATGTAATAAGGCCCCTGTGGGCACTGGGTTGACCAGCCACTATACCAGTTTATGGATCAGGAGAGTAAAGAGCAGAGTGAGACAGTGACTTACTCAACACCTACAGTTAAGCCTGCAACCCCAGATAGGCATGGGGTGGACAGGAGGTGGCAGCAGACAATGGAGTCCACTCCCTAGTGCTGAGAGTAGAGATTTTGCTTTCTGGGATGTTAAGGGTCTCAGCTTGGAGGCCCTAGACAGACTCCTCTGGGTTCTGCCCCAAAAGCTCTGACAGGGGCTCCTCTAAAATAAACTGGTGGAATTTCTGGGTGGGTCATGTAAACCTATCCAAGGTCTCAGGTTCAGCCCTTCCCCCTACCACCAGGACCCAAAGGAGCCCCTTTTCTTGAAAAAGAGGTGGTTTGGAAAAGAATCCCTCTTTCTCCTTTCCTGGGCAGGTGCATTGTGAGCCATGAAGGAACCACAGTTCTCCACGCAGCCCCTCCCAGATCTCTGGGGATGGAAAACAGCTCTCCATCCAAGGGCTGAGGAGGGAAGACTGGGAGAGCCCAGGAGTTTGTCTGTGTCCAAGTCTATGCCCTCCGTGTGTCACTCCCATCTCTGGCCCTCTCCGTCCTCACTGCAGTGACCATCTATTGATTGTGCCTGGTTATGACTGGTGATGGTGGTGGTCCCAGCATGGCCCCTACCATGACCACCTGCCTCCGATCAGTGGGCAAGGGAGCCCCTCCTGAGCCACCCTCCCAGAAGGGCTGCTGCTGAGGGTGC